GAACGAGTGAGCCTGCCCACGTTTGTGAGACCGGCCGCCACAGGGAATGGCTCGCCCGGGTGATCTCGCTCCACGTGCAGAGGGGGAAAGCTGAGGCCCCCACACTAGGAATAAGGACAGCCCTGGACGAGCAGGTGGGGAGACAGGGCCGGGCCCACCTGGCCCGGGGCCTGCTGTTTCTGCCCCGTGGTCAGCGCTGCTGTCACCACCGCCCGCGTCCTTGCTGCCATTCCTAGCCCGTGACCAGCCTCTCCTCCACATCTGTTTGACCCTAACTCCCCCCAGTGTGCCTGAGGCCCCCACACTAGGAATAAGGACAGCCCTGGACGAGCAGGTGGGGAGACAGGGCCGGGCCCACCTGGCCCGGGGCCTGCTGTTTCTGCCCCGTGGTCAGCGCTGCTGTCACCACCGCCCGCGTCCTTGCTGCCATTCCTAGCCCGTGACCAGCCTCTCCTCCACATCTGTTTGACCCTAACTCCCCCCAGTGTGCCGTGAAGTCTGTGAAGTCAGCGCGTTTTCATTTTCACCGAGCGCACGGACAGCCCAGGCTTTCCCGCCCACGGGGAGGTGGGCTGCGAGTGGCCCCGAGCACCAGGCGGGTGGGGTGGCCCTGGAACTTCCCCGCATCGCAGTGAATTCTCGGGGGCTGACCCCGACCCACTGGACGCCACGCGCACTCTTCATCACTGGACACCCCTCGTTCTCACATCCCCTAACGCTATTAAATCTCAAAGCTCAGATAAACGTCCCGGCGAGCAGTAAGCCCGACAGCCCACTGACCCCTGTCCTGCGCCGTCCTCCCGTCCCAGTGGGAGGGCGAGGCATGCGCGCCGTGTCCTGGGTGAGCCAAGGAAGAGGCGCGGCAGGACTGGGCTTCTTGTTCGTCTTAACTTTCCTCTGGAACACGGACAGTGAGAACAGACACGGCATGGCAAAGAGACGAGACTGCAAACTGCCGGCAGTGAGCTTACAAACGGCCAGGGTGTCTGAAAGGGGTCTCCTTTGTATTTTCTCTGTCCCTTGGGGAAGTCGGAAGGATTTCGTGTGTCTGTCGGTTACCCGTGACAGAGAGCACACATGCCTGAGAGAGTCGGGGGCCCCTCCCCAGGGCCTGGTCGTGTATCACCCCCTCCTCTGGCCCTCCACCCTGCCGGGACCCTCCTTCATGTACCCGCAGGTTTCTAGGCCGGCGGGGCTAGGGACTCAGACCGTGGTCGGCACGTGGTTCAACTCTGCAGTCAGCAGAGGCTGGGCCACGTGAGAGCCTGATGCAGAAGTATCCAGGAACACAGGCAGCTTCGGTGGCACCTGGGAGCTGACGATGACAGAAGTGGCGGCCCGAGCTCACGGCCCACGTCGACAGCTCCTACTCTCGGTCTCGAGTCCCCTCCGCCGTCGAGACCACGCCCTGCTTTTAGGGGTGAGAGGAGGATGATGCGCAGGAAAACGGGCAGGGCTGTCCCCAGTGCTAGGAGTTTTCTCACAGAAACACATTTTAATACATGGTGCAGGACTGAACACAGAGGCCTAAGGGGCTCACGGTGCCTTGACTGTATGGGATGCTGTGGTTTAGGTAAGACACCTGCTCTCCTTCTGGGAGTCTGGACGGAGTGTCCACGACCAGCCCCCAGTAAGACCTAGACGCCTGGGCTCACGGCGGCTCCTCGGTAGACAGTAGCTCACAGGATGGAGGGGCAAGCCCGCCCTGTGTGACCCCACAGGGACACTCGGGAGCCCGAGCCTGGTCCCCCAGGCCGCACCCCCGCCCTTTCTTTCGCACATGTGCTTGTGCACCCTTGGGTGACACGTCCAGGCTACACGCCGAGGTCTGAGTCCTCCTGGCAACTCGCTGAGCCTGGAGGGGCCCCGGTCACCGTATGGCTGTGACAAGTGCACACTGCTTCCTGCGTGTGCTCCTTTCGGAAATGCTCACCACACATGGAATTATCCATGGGAAAAACGCACCATGTTTGTGGAATAACCATCACTGGAGAAGCATTTTGAATGTCGTCATTTACGAACTGGGAACTGCACGCGCGGGCCAGAGGTCGTCTGACCTGAACTCTCGGGTGAGTTCTGATTCCTGCCTGCAGAAATGCAATTAGAGTGCAGGCAACCAAGATGCGTGGTGGAGAAAGTTCAATTCACTGTGGACAGCTACCATTATATTAAGATGAATTCTGGGGGCTGCCCCAATTACGCTACACTGGAATCTCACTGAATCAAATGTGCTTTAAATAAATGGGTCATCAACCCGGATTTGGCAATGTCTGTATTCTACAGGAGCGATCGGTCCACGGGCGTCTCTGATAGATAACGAGCTTACACGTGTCTTACATTTTACTCGTAAGTAGGTCATTTGGAATTCAGAGACCGTTCCTCCAATGAACCCTCTTCAAGTTCTTAAGACAGGACTTGGTTGTTATTTAACCCATGAAGCAGCTACTACTTGTTGCTCATAATTCCTTGTAGCTCTGTGAAGTTGTCATTTTCAGCATTAATTTGTCTTCCTTTTTTTGAGAGATTTTTTGCTGTCAAACATGTGTACTCATGAGAGACAGAGAGGGACAGAAAGCGAGAAGTCAGCCCTGGGGGAATGGCCATGCCGCAGTAGCTTCTCCATTCTCCCCTTGGGATTTTGGGCATGCACACACATGCACCCGGCATGAGTTTTAAGTTGCCGGTCCAGGACTCGAACCACAGTTGGCCACGTGAGAGTCCAGCGACATAACCATTATGCCATCTACTGGTCCCTGCAGCATTATTTCTAAGAGGCAATCATTTTTTCTGAAATTTATTACAGGGCCATGGGAATTGTCTTTCACAGACACCACGGAGTATTTTGGAAAGAAAAGACATTTCTAGGACAAGTGTCAGGAGTTCTGAGTCAGGGAAGGGAGATTTGCTCAAGAGGTGCTCCAGGCAGCAGGTGATCCAAGGAGCGTGTGCAGCAGGCCGGTGGCGGTTCCTCCCAGACACAGCCCAGGTATTTCCTGGACAAGGTTGGCTCGGGCTCACCCAGAGCCGCGGGTGGCCGAGCTCTGGAACCGGAGCGGTGGCTCTTAGGACAAGCGCAGCACCATCTCCACAGGGCCTCCCCAAACGTAACCTCCTTGGTCACACCGACAGGAGTCACTGCCATTCTCGGGGCGGTTTTATGACTGCTTTGAGGTTCAGTAACTACGGGTAACACTGACAGCCTGGTGGGGGTCACATAGGGATCAGCATAGCGCTTGCTCTCCGAAGACCCTGCGTGGATTTGTACGTACCGAGGTACCTAGCATGGATATGGGGGAGTCGTCACCTCCCCTCCAGAATGCACATGCTGTGGACCAGCGTGGGCTAAGGGTATGCGGTATTTTAAAACATAACAGAGTTATGTATGCAGTGTGTGCGTGCACACATGTGCGTGTATATATACACGCAATGCATGTACCTATACACGTGTGTGTTTATGTAACTCTATGTATATACGCATACCCTGTGCATAATCTACACACAGCACACACGCCCGGGCACAGCTGGATGAGCTGGCAGCCTGGGTCCCCACTGCAGGGCCACTGTGACTTCTTCCCCACCCAGTCTCTTCCGCCCAGCTGACAGCGTCTCGATTCTGTCCGTGTGATACGCCCTGCTCTCACATCAAGGGTCTCTCGCCACCCAAGCCAAGAGGTGACATGTGACCCGGGGCAGTCCTGCAGAACACGCTCTCCCCAGAACTGAATCCACTGGGGTAGTGTCTGTGGTGGAGATGCCATGGAACGGCGGGTCTAACCGGCCCAGCAGGCTGGCCCTGACCTTCCCCGGCAACCCCCTGCAGCACGCCGGGGACATGAGGGATGAAGGTGAGGCCACTGAACGATCCACGCAGTGCCAGGAGGAAGGACTTCCTGGCGTGCTTCTCCGAGGGCGCACAGCTCGCGGCCTCTTCTGGTGGACGCCTCCTGGCTAGAAGCCAACCTGTGCCCTCCAGATCCCACACGGGGCCGCACGGGGCCGAGCAGCGTCCGCCCACCCGAGGTCGCACTCGTGCGCTGTGCACCTGATAACAGCCCCCCACCCGTTAACCAGGGGAGTGTGCGTGTACCCCACGGTTCACAGAACAATGGCCCTTCTCAGGGACAGCAGGCTTTTTCGGGATTATTCCCTTTACCCTTACT